TCGTATACGTTTAAATAAAAAATAAAGCGACTAAACTAGTTTCGATGATAATGTGATAGTAAATTGTGATAACCATCATTATTACCCAGTGAAAAATCTGCAATGCTTAAGAGAATTTCCACATTAAAATAATGATGCATTAATAATCTGGAACAAAAGCTACTTAATATACTAACAACAAATTATCTCAAATATATCTTTACTGGTCCAAAACAACAAATGTGGATATCGTTGTCAAGCACAAAAAAACATCCAAAATCTTACTGGTCATTTGTATACAGCCATTTGTTGCAACTGAATACAAGGAACGACATGACTTAAGTGGGAAAGATTCTTCACCAAGAGATAGCTATCAAACTAAGACTTCTTCAGATCAACAATCTCACATATTATCAACACATCCCTACAAGTAAGCTTAAGAATAACAACTAAAAGCTATACTGGCACCGCACTGTCCCCACAGACTAGACAGTGATACATAAGAGAGTAGATCTTATACGAGTTAATAAATTAACGGGACAAACAACACAAACTGATGTGAGATGCTTAATAACAATAATATGGATCAATATAAGGTTGAATGTTCAAATAATTAAACTTTGATGGTATACAAGGCAACTATCGAACACAGTAATTAATTACATCTTGCCCAAGTACTTTCGATCAAGAGATCATCTTCAGAGGCATCTGAAATAAGCCAAGAAACGTTTTTTATAAAAAAGGAAAATTATTTCACTTGGATAAAAAACTCCAAGTTTATGGTTGAAAAAAGTTTTTATGTGATAAAAGTTGATAGACTTACTTCGTCAGTTGTGGCCTATCCGACATGAGTAGAATGTCATATATGTAAATTTAGACATAACAATACAATACACAAAGACAAACAAACACTTAAAAATTTTTAAAAAGGAGAAGCTACATGTTATATAGAAGCAGGAGACAGAATGGGCTCCCGGTCTGGCGGAAATATTGAGATGACATGTGACAAATGACAGCTTGTAGAGGGCAGTTATGTGATCTGCACCTTTCAAAATTCTATGAAACTAAGTATTGACCAAAGGTCCAACTGACACCGCTATAGGAAATCAGCTGATGAAATATAAAATTATATAGTATATTTTTTATGTAGATTGAATAATCCAAATCTCACACTCAAACCTGCCTATAATAATTAGGATGTTAGTTTAAGAGCAATTGAAGTTGACATAAAGTATGAATGTAAGAAAAGACTAAACAATATATTAGACAGTTGATGGTTGACTACAATAAAATGGTCCACCAAGCGCTATCAGTACTGTAAAAAAGGAAAAATCTGAATATGCAGTTAAATTACTAAAAGTTAAAATCAAAATTGAAAGCAAAATATATAAATGGGTTATAATCCAAGTAGTTCAGTTGAATCCACAGTCAATGGAAGAACTTTAATATTAATATTGAAATGCTCAGTGCATGAAGTCTAAACAGTCGAGCTGGGTCCTCTACGAGGTGAAGCTTTAATAAAGTTTTTAAATATAGGATTAAATTTGGTACAATTTAAATTAATTTGAGTATTAAGACAGTGAGAGTTTTCATTTGTTTCCCTTGTAATCTCCAAATCTTCCAAAAAATCCAACTCAAGATAGTTCTTCTTTCTACTAATGTCATGTAAGATAGATGAACATCAATTCTGGTTCACGTAACAAATAGGTTACGAATTTTACGCACAAATAGGTTACACAAATATACGCACCCACAGCAGACAAATCAGATTAGATGGATAAAGTATGCAACAACAACATTTGTAGAAGATAGGAATCTCACCATTACACAAAATTAAAATGACGATAGCGGACCACCTATTCTCGAAGCGGAAAAAGAAGCTACTATAAATAACATTAAGGAGGGAAAAGACGCAGGACCAGACGAGTTCTACTCAAAAATTTTGAAAATTAGGGGTAAAGACAAAGTTAAAAGACTTACCTTGATCTTCAACAATATATACCAAAGTGGAAAAATACCCCAATAGTGGCTAAGATGTACTTTTACAACAATCCCTAAAAAACACAATAACAAATAATGTGAAGATTGTCGAATAATAAGCCTTGTGAGCCATCTCCTGAAAACTTGTGTAAAAATTATATATAAAAGAATATATGTATAAAAAAGTGTGAAGATCATATGACAAACACACAATTCGGCTTTAATGATGCATTGGGTACTCAAAAGGCACTTTTTGCCATACAAGTGTTCTTTTAAAGATGTAGAGACGTGAATTGTGATATATATGTGTGTTTTGTTTATTACCAGAAAGCGTTCGATAGAATAAAATATGACGAACTGATGAAAATATTAAACTCAATTCGTCTAAACAGCGGAGATCACCGTATAATAAACAATATCTATTACGAATAAACTGCAGCTGTTAGAGTTGGGCATCAGTTAACAGACAACATAAAGATATAAAGAGGTGTGCGACAGGGATTTAAATTGTCCCCATTACTGTTCAATACATATTTAGAGCACATTATGAACCTAGCGCTAAGGGACATAGACGAGGGAATACTTATAAATGAATAACGATTGAACAACTTAAGATACGCTGATAATACTGTCATTTTTGCAGTCTTGAAGGTCTGCAGACACTTGTCTCTAGAGTGGCAGAAGTAAGTAGCAGATTTGGGTATCATTTGGGTATTGGGTAGCAGATACCACCTGGTCAATTACTAGTTAACCTATAACACAAATCATCAACTTTTGTTATTTGGGTGCAAACTTAAATAAACAGTGGGACCAATCGACGGAAATTAAAATAAGGATCGAGAAGGCAAGACTAGCTTTCGTCAAAATGAAAAAAAATTTTAACAGCCACGATATAAAATTGGAAATAAAAGTTTGTTTACTAAAATGCTACGTATTCTCCTTTCTTTTATATGCCATGGAGTCATGGATCTTAAGTGAAGCATCACTGAAGAGACTTGAAGCATTTGAGTTGTGGTGCTATAGAAGCATGTTGGGGATTTCCTGGATAGACAGAATTACCAATAAAGAAGTACTACATTGAATGGGTAAAGAGTGCGAAATAGTAACCATAAAACGTCGCAAACTGGAATATCTGGGCCATATATTGCGCAGTAAACAACGATATGACCTACTTCGGATCATACTTTAAGGTAAAGTGCATAGGAAAAGAGGTCCAGGACGAAGAAGAATATCCTGGCTGCATATCCTGCGAAAATGGTTTAACTTAACCACTACCGGACTTTTCAAGTCAGCCGTCAACAAAGTTAGAATAGCCATGTTAGTAGTCCAACATCCGTAACGGATAGGCACCATAAGAAGTAGAACCGCAGTAAAAAAACCGCTAGTACATCAGAAGACGTTGAAAGAAGCTTCTCTTTGTACAAACATATTTTTACTGACAGTAGACAATCGTTCTTAGTAGAAAATTTTGAAAAGTATTTAGTAGTAAGTGCCTCTTGCACTATTTCTTTACAAATTGTTTATTTTTATTTCTCTTTGTTTTATTAAATTATTTTTAAATTAAACATTTTGTTTAGAACTCATTGTGTTTTTATCCCATTTTATTATAATTAATAAATTTAAAAAATAATGCATACCAGTATGCATATTTTGTCAAAAAAGGCATATAAATGCATATATTATTAAGGCAAATAAGGCATATATATATTTTTAGCTGCATTTGAATACATCTATTCCGCTCTTTCTTCTAAATGTGTCTATCTTCTAGAGATGTTGGCGACCACATTGACCCATCTTACTCTATTCACAGCAGCTGGAAATATATTAGTTGACGTTAGACCAGTCCATTTCCTAAGATTGGCCGGCCAGGATATACGTCTATGTCTAGGGCTCAATCTTACCCTCAATCTTACCCTGTAGAATCAACTGTATCAGTGGGTATTTATATTTATCATTACGCATAATGTGGCCAAAGTAACCCAATTTTCTGTTTTTGATGGTGTTGATAATTTCTTTGTCTTTTCATAGCCTTTGATAAATAGATATGTTACTTGTGTGGTGTATATATGAGACCCTCAACATACGTCGATAGCACCACATTTCAAATACCTCCAATCGTTTTATGACATCTGTATGGCTCCAGCTTTCTATTCCATATAGGAGGACACTAAAGACGTAACATCTAAGAATTCTTATGCGTATATTGATACTTAAAGATAAGTTACAGAAAATCTTCCTAAGGCTGTTGAAAGAGCTTCTGGCTTTTTCAATGCGAGTTTTTATTTCGTAGCTGTGATCTCAAGTATCCTTAATGTTGCAGCCCAAATAGCATATTTTTTCCAATCTTTCTAATGGTGTATCATTAATTGTAATTAGGGCATTTATGCGGACAGTTCATGTTCTAATCATACTGTTGCTTTTTGTTGGAGATATACGTTTGAGATCAGTCTTATATAACTTCCATCGAGTCATGATGTTTTTAGGATATAAAATAGTTTCCCATGTGGGACTTTATCAAATGGCTTCTCGAAATCAATGAAACATGCATACACATCGCAATTGACATCCCTGGCACTCTGTATTAGAATTTGTAAACTAAAAAGTGCTTCCCTCGTTTCGAGTCCTGCTCTAAATCCAAATTGAACTTCACTCATGTGTTCTTCTAATTTGGTGTATATGCGCCAGTGAATAATAGCAAAGAGTACTTTAAGTACATGGCTCATCAAAATAATTAATCTATGTTGTTGTTTTCGGTAATCCGCTTAATGGACATAGTTCTTTGTTTATAACTTCTGGGTCGTAGGTATTGTTTATTTCAGCCGGACTACGTGCTGCATCTTCAAATAATTTTTGCATATATATTGAATAATTCCGCTCTTTACTGATCTGCAATAAAAGCTGCTAACGAAATGTGTCAAAATGCATACAAATTTAAATTTATTTTAAAATTTGGGGATACCATAAAGAAAGACATAATGTAACATTTTATTATTTATATATAAATACATGTTTAATAATATACTTAAATATATTCACGTATAGTCGATCTATCTATTTACTCGTAAATCTTCCTACAAAAAGTATTTCCCCAAGATCATTCTCTTTGATATAAAACAGGAAAGGATGGTCAGCCTGAAATTTTTTTTGAAAGCCATGTTGACGGTTGTGAACGGAAACTAAAACAGTAAAGCCTATTGTAAAGAGAAATGAATTCTGTGTAATATTCTGTATTTTTTGTGGAATTAGTAAAATTTTATTGTGGATATTACTAACCAAGTCTTGTAGATATGTATAGTAAAGTAGGGTGCAAAATAAATTAGAGCAATAGAAAAAGAATACATACATTAAAAGGTTATGTAATTTATATATAAATTTACCCAAATTGCCAAAGTTGATTAAATAGGAGCATACATTTTGACCCGAAACGTTGATCAACGCCCGAAAGTAATGCACTAATCTAACATAATAAATATGCGTACAGTACGTTCAATCAACTTACACCTCTAAACGATTAATGGAATTTGCAAAAAACCTGTCGTTGTAGTAAAAGGCACGGTAAACTGCACTGGGGTTCTCCATAATCTTTTTAATTACCTACTTTGTTTAGAATATTTTTGCCTGTATTAATTTGTATAAAATGAGAAGCACTGGCATAAGTATACCACGTTTTAAACCGCTCTGATATTTTTCAATTTTTAAATGTAAGAAACGGAAGAAAAATTTTATATTCTTAAATACTATCAACAAATAATAGTGCAGTGTTGATGCCAATCGACGTGAGTAACAAAAAACTTTTATATAAGATATTACAATAGTAAATATAACCTATACAATTTTAGTCAAATTGAACCAACTGGTTTTATCAATTGGTTTTTTGGAACCGTTCGGAACTAATCCATGCCGCGCAGGTTCTTTGGCCGGTGACAGGACCGGACCTGCGACAACGCAGGAAACAAAATAAAAATGACTTCAATTAACAACATGACTACTTCTACTTTAAATACACCAAATACACCAAAAAATGCTTATTCCAATGTAGTAAATACTTTCAAACACCCAACAAAGGACCGAGAGTTAGTACTTTCCAGTATTGAAGGCATCAAAATCCACAATTACATCGTAGCAATTGGATCATTGGTTGGTCCACGTAACGTCTTGTTTGCATCTAGAATTAAAAACAACAGAATATGTATCTATCTCTCTGCCAAAAACATAGTCGATATGCTTCTTCGTTCCTACAAATATATTAATATAAATGAGTCAGAAATGACGATAAGAAGATTTATCACACCAGCACAACGACTTGTAATCTCTAACGTATGTCCTTCAATTCTAGACAATATCATTGAAGCAGAATTACAAAAATTAGGCACCAATGTAGTTTCCAAGATGAGTTTTCTAAGAGTGGGTATGACAGAAACCGAATATAGCCACGCCATAAGCTTCAGAAGGCAAGTATTTATTTCGCCCCTGGATAATACCTCCATTCCTTATTCCTTCAATGTATTCCACAATAAAACTTATCGTTTATTTCTCTCTATTGATGAACTAACAACTTCGAAAGCGCATGGTTAAATGCTACATTTGGTCAGTCCTCTTATATGGTGTCGAAGCAGGGACATTAAAAATATCCACGATTAATCGTCTGGAGGCCTTTGAGATGTGGCTGCACAGACGTATACTAAAAATTCCATGGACGGCTACGCTGACAAATGTGGCAGTCCTTAAAAGAGCAAATGCTGCTCCCGGGCTGCTTGATAACATCAAATGTAGAAAGATGGCCTATTTTGGAAAGATGGAAATCATTGGCGTGTATTTCAAACCAGAATTTTTTCTTATTATTTTCCATACTTCGCTGACGAGGAGTTGAGAAATTTATTTCTGAAACATAGATAGACCAGGAAGCCTTCTTCGCTTGTTTTATAATAAGTTGTGTCTTAGCTTTCAGTGCTTTGAACTTGATTTTATTTTCATGTGTTTAAGGTCTTTTATATTTATTAAATGCAGTTTTACTTGCTTAAATAACTGCTCTACATTCTGAGTTTTACCAAGGTACAGGAATCTGATTATTCTTTGTCTTTTTTAATTTCCCAACGAATTGATCAGCACTACCTATGATAATGCTATTCAAATTGTTTAAAAATTCATCGAAGCTTTCAGCCATTTTACAGTTCGGCATTGAGTTGTCGATATAATTTTCGAATTTTAACCAATCGGTAGTTTCAGTTTTCCATCTGGGTATGAACACGTCATGGGTCAGAACCATGGAGTTTTTTATTACTATAGGATGGTGGTCGCTATCATAAGTGTATTGTAGAACTTTCCAAAATAATCTAAATTTAAGTGCAGGGCAGGGCTTCTTGCTCTGACAATTTCACCTTGTATTTCTATTTGACCATGATTATTCATAAAATCATCCACTATTTGTTTATTGGATAAATACATACATATGTGATTATTAGATAATTTAGAAGAGAAGATTATATTTTTCGGTTGAATTATATTTCCAAGTGGGAGAAAGTAGTCTTGAAGTTTATTGTTTTCTAAGGCACTAAAGATAATTGCTTGGGACTGTAAAGGAAATTGCACTCTCGACGCAGCTGAAGAGTATGACTGTGATACGTTTATTTGACTTTGATGGTCTTGTATTTTAGGACTGTTGCGTGATTTCATGTTTAAATTTATTTCGATAGACTTTGTAACGATGAGTCCAAGCCATCACCGTTAAACCAGCGTGCGCGCGAACCAACCCATGAAGTAGGAGTGTATCAACAGTAGAAAGGGCAAAACTTTGCTATATAAACCGCATTATTTCCTCATAGAGGCACTTTCGATCGAGACGCTGAGCGAGCAGGTCACTGTTTACATACCCGCTCCGGAACAGCGTCGACGAAAGGTTTGAGAGAGTGTATACTCTGAAGCTTGCAGCGCACAGTTCGTCGATAGGAGTGGACAGCCGAAAAACCAACGAGGCCTGGCGTTGCCTACAAAATTAATTAGTACGGGGTTTCAGTAGAATATACTGGCCCCAGAATATTCCTTTTGTTAGGCCTAAACGCTTGCAGGAACAAGTGCCAGTACGTTGTTTCACTCTGTGTAGACGTCCAACGAGGGACCATTAAGCAGCGTGGTAACGCTGGTAAGTAAAGCCACTGTCAAATACCACACATATCACACTAGTAGGGCAAGCCTTTTTCTCGGGGGGTTTACAACCCCCTGGCTCCGTGAGGCTGCGGAGTCTGCTAGCGGTCTGATACTGTGTTGTTCAATTCCCCTGTTGCTATGCCTGGGTCTACCAGGTCCGCCCACTCCACCCGGTCTGTGACTAGATCACAGACTGCGGCATTAGCCTCCAACCCCTACTACGAGTTAGTACACGACCAAACAAACATAGAAACCCCCCAATCTGAGATCCCTGAACAATCGTACAACCCATATTCATCTGCTCGGGAACTCCAAGATCTCAGTCATGAAATTCTGATCCTACAAACTCGCTTTAACCAAAAACGCCGAGAAATCGAGGCACACGATAGCAATCATCCGATACTCCGAAAAATCGATTCTGACTACCCTCCACTACCATCCACGCATCGTAAACTCTCAATCTCTTCTTCTAAAAACACAACCACCAATCGCCAAAATGCACCGTCTACATCTCGTTCTTCTCGCCAAAATGCACCTACTTCCCAACCTACTCAACCACCCTCTCAACAAATCACTTCACGTCCAACTTCACGTCCAATAAATCCACAACCCTCCACCTCCAATGACACAGCTCCACAAAATCAAACCCAATCTTTTGCCAATGCACTAAGGGCACCCCCAAACTCACGACCAAAACACAACCCAAACATCACGAACTCAATCAACAATCCGAAAACATTTGAATATCTAATCACTGATATCCCAAAAGATTTCTCTAATCAGAGAACCTTCTTCCGCGTTTTAAACTGCATTCCCATTCTTTTTAATAAAATCCATTCATTAAAAGTACTATCTCACGGAGTTGCTCATCTCCGTACCCTCCACTCCATAAATGCGGAAGAACTTCAAACTAAAGTCCATAAAGCCACCGGACAAACCCAAATAAAAATCTTATCTAGATCCCATTCCACTCACAACCAAGCCAACCGTTCAGAAAATCATCTATTCCTCATTGTAAACGTAGGACACGAATACTCTGAGGTCGAACTAGCTCAAATTCTCACAGAGCAAGACATCCCTGTCACCAGGCTATGGAGAGTAAAATCTCGCATGACTGGTAAAGACACAAAACTAATAAAAGTCCTTACTACTTCCAACGACAAACTCAAACATGTCCTAAACTTCGGCATTCCTATCGATGGACTCATCCATTACACCGAACTCCCTTACTCTTCTAATCCAACGATCCCTACCCCCAAATATTGCAGCAAATGCTGCTCAAATGGACATACCATCTCAGAATGTCGTCAACGTACTTTCGTCTGCCCTAACTGCGGACAAAACCACAAATCCAGTGACTGCCCTAATCCCAACAAGCCAAAATGCCCTAATTGCAACGGCGATCACACCGCCTATTCCTCTCGTTGTCCAAAAAGACATGAACAACCCAACAATCCCTACCACATCCAACCCCTATCCTTCGAAAGATCCTCTCCCCCATATGACCTATCCACAGACCTCCAAAATACAATCAGACTCAGTACCTTAGTACTGCTCAATATCCTACCCGAAAGACGGGAACTAATCACTGCTATCACAAGTTCCGTGGTAGAAAAGATCTTCGGCCACACAATCACCTTGTCTGGCCACAACAATAAGGTCGAAATGACCTTCCACCCCACCTATTAAGTCCTCTCTATGGATTTCACACTAGGAGCAGTTAATTGCCAAGGGATCTCTAAAAAGAGACCCCTAATCAAACATATCCTGCAAAAACACAACATTCAAATTCTTGCCATCTCTGACACTCTCTGTCGCAACACTCCGACTTTTGCAGGATATACAACGATCTATCGAAGCCGCTGTCAGGTTTCCCGTGGGAATGGTATCCTTATCAAACATGGACTACCACACTCCCCCCACGTATTCCCTCAAAATACTCCTCCACCCAACGTGGACTTCCTGGCAATTGACCTCCACCTTCCGAACAACGAAACCCTCACGATAATCTCTTACTACAGACATCCAGCTA